GAGTAGAATCCGCTCATCTTCTGCGTCTGGCTCCTTCCTCCCGGACTCTCTGTGTCTCAGGTATGACCGCAGCGGCAGTCGCCACCGTGACCCTGCCGCCGCCGCGGCGGTTGCTGGCAAGCGCTCAGATGTGTCTCCTTGCCTTGGCTTCCCCTCTCTTGACTACCTCTCTGTCCTGTGATGGCACACTTGGTATGATTCTCTGGCTTAGGACTGTTCACTGGAACTCTGAAACTGCTTTCTATGCGAGAGCTTGTTCAGATTCCAGCTTCTCCTCTGCCATCTTCCCGGAACTCTCGAGTATGTTCTTCTAAATTCCTGTTTAGAAACTCTCAGCAAAGGGGCTCAAAATAAAGACCATCTGGCGAGCCCAGCAAACTAGGGTGAAATGTCCACCAATCATGAGCCTGTAACTATGTGGACTCCCCCCAGGGAAGCCTCCCCCTAGAGAGTCAACTAGTTTTCAACAAGTGTTACAAAACTTCCCGCACAGAGCTGAGCCAATCCTGGGGAGCCTGGGGTCTTATGCTAATCCTGTGGTTTTTTGTCTTTAAAAAATGCCTGTAACCGCTGCTCCGGGCTTCCAGTCGGCCTTGGACAGGGAGCCGGTTTGCGCAAACGCCTAATAAAATCCTCTTGCTTGTTGCATCTGCTGGTTTGGAGTCTTGGTTCTTGGGGTGCCCTCCCGTTGAAGAAAGCATCCCAGTGAGTCTGGGGTCTTTCACAGTGCTGCTCTTCTTCAGCATTCCAAACATTCTGGGTGACCACAGGGTGCCAACAGCCTATCTGAAAACAGGCTTTATGAAAAAGATAACTGTCTGTCTTCCCCTTCTCTCAGGGTTCTACTGTATGGTAAACCTGAACTAACAGGATATTTCTTGCAGGGAGTATAATTCAATTATTTCATAATGCCTGTTTAAAAGGTGCCCAATGAGAACAGAAGCTGCATAAACAAATAGCAGGGCTCTATCAGCATGATATATTCTGTTGAAACCTAGCCCCTCCCCCCCAAATGTCTTTCTCAAACTGGAAAAAAAAACAGTTGTGATTCTACCTTCTCATATAGCTGGAAGTAACAAAGTTAGAAGAAACCTTCAAAAACCATTCTCATTTGCCAATTCTAGGGAGAAAAACATGTAGCCTCTGAATTAAAAGCCAGAAATAAGAAATGTAGGAAAGGAGTATATTTATGATGACAGATTGATGGACGAGAACAGGAAATATAAGAAAGGTGAGCTATTTGTCTTGGAGACTAAGTTTGAGTCATAGGGAAAAGGAGCTGAAACCATCAAATAAAAATCTGTGTCTGTAGCATGGAATTATGGTAAGCTGTTTAGAAGTTCACAGGTCTGCACAGTCAATATTGAATATCAGCTCTGCTACTTAGCATCTGTGTGATAGTGGGCAAGCAATTCAGTCCCTCTGCACCTCAATGCTCTCATCTGTACAATGAGGATTGATTTAATAGAATACATCTACACAATGCTTATGATCTTGCAAAGTGCCCTAGAACTTAACCTCGCACAATTGAGAACAAATTAGCAGGACACTAGTGGCACACCCCTGTAACTTTAGCTACTCAGGAGGATGAGATCTGAGGATTGTGGTTCAAGGCCAGCCCTGGCAGGAAAGTCTGTAAGACTCTTATCTCCAATTAAGCACCAAAAAACTGGAAGTAGAGCTGTGGCTCATGTGGCAGGGCATTAGCCTTGAGCAAAAAAGCTCAGGGACAAAGCCCAAGCCCTGAGTTCAAGCCCCAGGACTCACTCTCTCTCAGTTTCTCCCCCCACTCTCAACACCTCCCACCCAGAACACATTAAGCAAGTACTAATCATTATTGAAGAAATTAGAATTATGGCCAGGTGCTGGTGGCTCATACCTGTAATTCTAGCTACTCAGGAAGCTGAGATTTGAGGACTGCACTTCAAAACCAGCCCAGACAACAAAGTCCACCGGAAAACCAGAAGTGGTGCTGTGGCTCAAAGTGGTATAGCATCTGCCTTGAACAAAAAGAATTCAAGGACAGCACCCAGGCCCTGAGCTCAAGCTCCCAACCACCACCAACAACAACAATAACAACAACAAAAAGAAATTAGAATTACACTTCATTTTGTCATCAACTAAAATAAGTTGATTTTATTCACTTATCTAGTATTTATTGTATATCTATCAGCCAACAAGATCCTTTTTCTCAAGGTGCTTACATGTTGTGTGTTGCGGGGATGGGGAGAATGGAGAAAGAAGGAAAAGGGAAATGATACTGAACTAAACACATAAAAGTTGTATTAGGTGATATTCTTGAGGCAAATAAAGCAAAGGAGGGGAATAGGAAGTTCTGGGGGGAGTGGTATGAGGGAAGAACATTCCGAGACAAGAAATCAAAGTCTTGAGGCTGAGGAATGCTTAATGTGTTCCATTACAGTGAAGTCAATATGGCTGGAGGGAGAGAAGGATGAGGTAAAATTGTATATTGTGAAGCCAGAGGGGACCAGGTTGAGGTGTCTGGTTGGGTCCTGGAAATAAGTTTGGCTGTTGATCTAGGATGCAAAGCCACTAGACATTTTGAGATAGGGAAAGACACAACCTCTGTTTTAAAAATTCATTCAGACCACTGTATGTGTATGGTGGTAGTAGGGGGAAGTAGAAAGATCAGGTAGGATGCTATTATTAAGACACCATGATCGCTTGTACTGGAATTTAAGCAGTGGGGAAGAAGGGGACTGGGAAGAACTAGACACTTTCAGGAGATAGTTTTTGACAGCACAGTGAACAGAATTGGTTGATGAATTGGATGGTGAGTGTACTGCTGAGAAGGATCAGGGAAAGGGAAGTTCTGTAAGAATGATTTTTTTCTCCTTTATTCAATAGTATATCCCAAAACTCAGTAAATAAATAAGTGTCTGGTAATGAACAGATTCCTTGAATAAATGTAAAGGGTATCTCTGATTTGTATTATTCTTTTAGTGAACTTAGTAAATAGTGGTTAAAATATTTACAGACAAATGAAGTACTGTTGCAACCACAGTTCGAGCAAAGCAGTAAAATTTCTCCTGATAGAAGCTGATATTACTGCATCCTTGTTCCCAACTGACTAAAAAATCAACCGGAGACTGCCTGTAACGGAGGAGTACTTTGTTATAAAACATTTATTGTGAACAAACACAAACCAACAGTATATGGGAGAATATATACAATAATACTTTGGAGAAAAGCCTAAGAAATGAGAGGCTGGAGTCGTAGTTTAGTGGAAGAATGAATATGTTTGCTTACTTAGCCCTGAATTCAATCTAGAAAGGTTGCAAAACACATGGAAGGTTCCAACATTTTTGTATTCTTGAAACACCATCAGTAAAATGAGAATAGTGATATGCAGAGAATGAGTGAGGAAAGACTAATTATGCACACATTTAAGGCAGTTTATGAAATGCTCTATTTGGTCATATCCTCAATATTTAGAAGTATGACACATTCTATGCCTTATTTTTCTACTACCGTATCTACTAATAACACTACACCAGGTGATAGACATAGGTGGCAATATACCTGATCAACCTAGAATACAACTACTTCTAATGCTCCAATATATAGACTTTAAGGGTAAAGAGGACCTGTTGACACGAGTTATACCTAGAAGTGACCCACAATACTGTTCCATTTTCCCTCAGTGATGATTTATAGAGGCTAAACACCAATACTTGCTTTTGGCAATTTTCTGGTAGAAAATTAGAACAGATGTTCAGTTCTAAAAATCCGTATGGTTCTTGCTCCAGTCTTCTGGGTGGGAGTCTTGCTACACTGAATTTCTTGAGTTCCTGCAGGACATGGTGGGCTTGGGACCCCTGGCAGGCTGGTTTTCCTCACCTGATTATGTATCCAACTAGATTATGTCCAAGTGACTTAGATTATTCTAGGTCTGTCCCTCTCCTTGGGATGGGTGTTGGGGGTGGTGGTGGTGTCGATCTTCAGTCATGTCTGGTCAGGACAATCTTCTCACAGAGCTCTGCAGAGCAGAAGTTTAGGAACAGTGATCACACTCAAGTGGGCAAACAGGTGCAAGTGAGGGAAATTTCATGGAATTGAGAAAGCATACTTTTTTTTTTTTTTTTTTTAAATACTGGCTATTTAGGGGAAGGTACAGGAGAACTTAAGGCTCCTTCAGGCCATCCGCAGTCCAGCTAGGGTTCCCAACCCCTTCAACTGGGCCCGGTACCCCTGACTCCCCATCCCTCTGGACACCCCAAGATCGCAAGGCTCGGAGGCCTGGCATTCTGGTTCAGAGCACATCCAAAAAGCAGGGCCACCTGGGTGGCTGCAGAGTCGGGGTGGGGTCAGGCTTAACCTGCGCCAACTCTTGCCCAGGCCCAGGTGAAGTTTCCCTCCTTTGGGGGCCTTGGGCACCACGCGGCTGGGAGTCGGGTTTGAGGTGTGGGCTGGGACTTCTGAGGCGAGTTGAAGTCCAGGGGGGAGGGGTGCGGTGGATTGGGGGCACAAGGCCTCCCCCACCCCCCCCAATCCCTTCACCATTCTTGGGCCATCTCCCACCCCCTAGCCTTCGTGTGTCCCTTTAATGCGCGCGCCCATCAAGGTCCCCGCGTCCCCTCCCCTCCAGCGGCCCCTTCAGCCTGGACTCCCCCCCAACCCCCCCACCGCTCACCTTCCCTGTCGCTCCTTCCCGGCTTGACGCCCCTCACCCCCCACGCTCTGCGGCCCAGCCAGAGAGCGGGACTCAGCTGTCACTTTACTTTTCCGTCCGTCCCCTCCCCCTCCCCCCTCCCCACCGCTTCCCCTCCCCCTTCCCCCCACCCCCCGCAGGCCCCGCGGGGCAGCCGCTCTTGCGCGCGCCCGCCCCCGCCCCCTCGCGGCCGCGCGCCGGGGGAGGAGGGGCGAAGGGGCGGGAGGGGGGAGCGCGCGGCGCCGCACGGCCGACGTGGGGCTCGCGCTCTCGCGGTCTCTCCCTGGCGGGCGGGTACGCGGGCGCGCGCGCGCACGGGCGGGCGCGCGCACGGGCGGCCGGGCGGAGTTGGCTCCCGGCGGTGGTGGCTTCACTTTCCAGGACTGAGGGGCGGCCAGAGCCGCAGCCGCGGGCAGCAGCCTCGAGAGCCGGAGCTGGAAAGGCCGGGGGCGGCGGTGAGTCCGGGGCGGGCGCGAGCGCGGCGGGGGAACAGGCGTGGCCGGGCGGTCGGGTGCGTGGTGAGTGGGTCCGGCTCCCGGTGACTCGACGGTGTTGCGGGGGACACCCGGTCCCCGGGGGGGGGGCCCCTCCCCGCCCCCTCCCCCGCGTCCTCGGGCTGCGGCGGGCGCCCGCGACCTGCGCCTACACCTCTCCCTCAGGTACGGGCGCGGGCCGCGCCGGTGTCCCCGCCGCTCCGCGGGCGGGCGGGCTCCCCTCCCCCCGCCCCGCCCCCTCCCCCCACGCCGCGGGGCTCTGCTCGCCCGGCTCGCGCCCTACTTCTCGCCCGCGCTGCCCCGCGCCCCCTCCGGAGAGCCGCCTGCCCCGATTCTCGCCCTTTCCACCCCTCCCCCTCCTCCCCATCCTCACCCCCCTCCCCAGCCGCGTCCCTCCCGGCCCTTCTTACCCCCCCCCCCCCACACCCGGCGGTTCTCGGTTCCCCATCCTCCGCCACCCTCCCGGCCCCTTCCCTCCTCCAGCCGCATCCTGGAACTAAGCCTTTGCAAAAAAAAAAGGAAAAAGTACCGGCTGCGTGTATGGGTGGAAAGTGCTGGCTCGAGCCCGGCTGTCCCCGGCGTGCACCGCCGCCGCACCCCGGGTCCCTCCCGCCCGGCCCCGGCCCGTCCCGCCCCGCCGGCCCTCCGGAGCCCCGTCGGGAGGAGACCTGGGCGGGGGGTGTCTTTCTCGGAGCCCTCGAGGGGGACGTGTGTTGTCTTCTTGGTCTTTTGTGAGGATGCCCGGTGCTGGTCACAGTTGGGATCCCGAGCCCGTTTTTTTTTTTCCTCTGGTTTTTTCTCTGCAGCCCCCACTGGCCTGATTTGAAACTAGATTCCCCCCCCTCCATCTCCCCTTCTCCTTTCTTCCCCGCCCCCCCTCTTCTCCCACTCGTCATGTTTGCATTCTCTTGCCCTTGATTACTTTTAATGAAGATAAAGCATGGTCTCTTGTGGGGCTCCCCACTACCACCCCCCCCCCCACTAACCAGAAATGCCCCACCCATCTTCCCTAAAGGAAATTAAGGCCCCTTTAGGAAGACATCATCCTGTGCTTTCTAGCTGTTAGACACCTTTGCAATGTTTTTTTTTAAAGATCCATCGCTTTTTTTTTTTTAATTGTGTGTTCTTGAGCGTCTCCTCAGATATTTTTAAAAGTGCAGAAAGAAATCCAAGGGCTCACCCTCTCACCATCTCAGTGTTCCCCCAGATTTTAAGCGCTTCTGAGTTTTTAATCCCTGAGTATTTGAACAGTACAGGTCTGAAGACGTGATCATGGGTCTGGATACTGGGAATCTTAAGTATTTGTCCTTATTCAGAACAATTTGGATGCTCCTTGTGCTTTGGGGTTTCATGTGTCCACAGATGAGGAAGATGGAGTGTTTTCATATATAACAACCTTGTTCTGTCTCCCTAGGATGCAGTATATTTTCCCCAAAATCAGGTGTTGTGTTAAAGGTTTCCTGTATAAATATCCTTAAGTTAACTGCTGGGTATTACTAGGTGTTGTGCATATAATATAAATCATTTTATTTTACATTTTAGAAAAGTTTGGAAATGGGAATAGGAAGACTTGCAAGACATAGGTGACAGAATTAAATGTTTTCTTTCAGTAAAAGTGCATATAAACGGTTGTTTTTGTGGTTTCTAAGCTGCAAGACATGATTATAAAGCTTACTTTTATATAGTGTGGGCTTATGGAGGGAATATCGTTGTTTTTGTGTTGTTGACAGTATTTGTAGCCAGACCACTTCGTCTGTATGGAAGGTGTGCCTTTCATTCATATATGTAGCTAATTTCTAAGGACTGTAGTTTCAACAGAGAAGTAATCAAGCTTAGGCAATTTATGAGTTGAAGATGTAAGTTTACAATATGTAAACTCTTTAAAATATAACATACATTATGAAAATCTACTGCTTAATGTTTCAGTGAGTATGAGTTAAAAATTTTATCGATCTATTTACCTTATCTTTGAAACTGCCATAGGAGAGTAATTATAATCCTGGAGTTTGTCTTCCTTCTAGATTTCATAATTGGATCAGACAAGCTTTTTGGGAATCAATTTTAAAATACTAATTCAGAAAATGATAAAAAATTTTAATGTAGGAGGTTTTACTTTAAAGAATTTGTAATTTAAAGAAACAAGGTACCACATTTAAAAGTGGAATGTTTTTCATTAAAAAATTGAAATATATTTGGACTTTTAAAGCCAGACATGAAGCATACTGATATAAATGTCAGTATTCTATTAAGTGACTTTAGTGCTCATAAAAGATGTCATAGCTGTGGAGACTGATGGTCTCCATTTACAGAATAGGTAGAGACAGTAGTCAAATTTTCTATCACTGTGTTTCAGAGCAGTTTGTGCAGACTTATTTTTCTTTGGCATGATGGAAGAAAGCTCTCGGTTGAGAGTGGTAATCTGTGGTGTCTAAAGGCATTTAGTATTTTCTTCTGGTGATTCTATGACATACTAATACATCAAAGATTATTGTACCATATTTACAAAGCAGCATTTTGAATTTATCATTTTTGAAAAAGACAAGTACCAATCACTCAATGGCCAAGTTTTATTTTAAAAAGAATGCAGCCAGAAGCCAGTGGCTCATGCCTGAAATCCTACTCAGGAGACTATGATTTTAGGATTGCAACCTGAAGCTAGTCAGAACAAGAAACTCTATAAGACTCTTATCTTCAATTAACCAGCAAAAAGCTAGAAGTGGAGCTGTCTCAAGTGGTAGAGTACTAATCTCAAGCAAAAAAAAGCAGAGAAATAGTACCCAGGCCCTGAGTTCAAGTGCTAAAAAATATATACATATGTGTGTGTATAAGTACAAAATAAGTGCATTAAAAAATGCTCTTAAAAGAGCATTACAAATGTAGGAGAGAATGTAGAAATGACCAATACTGGTCATACAAATACTGATTATTCTAGAAATGAAATTTACAATAAAAAGGACATGGTCTTTAGATGGATGATTGTCAAAAATAAGTGTAACAACACATCTGGTAAGGATAAGCCCTCGAGAAACATGTAGAAAAGTTGGGTAATACCTACCAATATTGCAAGTGAATCTCCCATGTGATCTAAGCATTGAACTTGTAGAGGTACTCAAGGTAGTATACACCAAGAAAGCATCTTGTTATCTGTGTTTTTGTTGGCCCACACATTCCCACGTGCAATAGGAGAAATAGTAAGTGATTAGGAAGCTATAGCTTTCAATATGTGGAAGTTGTAAGGAACTCATTAACTATGTTGAGATACAAAGAGATCAAAACAAAATGCAGAATAACTATGGTTGGACAGTAGACTGTGAAACTGTCACACCAGCATAGTGAGAAGTAAAGTAGGTGCTGAGGATAGTGCTCCTCCACCACTCAGACACCAGCAAGTAACAGACAGAAAAGCAGGACAGCAGGCATCTCCTGAAGACAGTTTGACACAATACAAAATCATCTTGCCAAGAACATGAAACCTGGATGTGGTTATGTGTTTGAACGAAACCGAGGGACATCAAATCCCAGACTATGGGAAAGTACAGAAGGGATGGCATGATTCCCAGAGAAAGAGCTAGAAAATAACTGAGAGAAGGCACGTAATTTCAAAGATGCTTAAATGATATACCAACCAATTTCAAATATTGGGCCTTAAATAGATCCTGAATTTAGCAAACTGTACAGTACTTGTTAATAAACAGAGGAAAGTAAAATTGGATTGTTATAACAGGAAATCATATTTTAATTCTGATTGCAGTAAATACAGCATTGTTATATAGGGGTCTTTGTTGTGGTGTGTGTGTGTGTGTGTGTGTGTGTGTTGTGTCAGTTGTGGGGCCTGAACTCTGGGCCTGGGCGCTGTCCCTCAGCTCTTCAGCTCAAGGCTAGTGCTCTACCACTTGGGCCACAGCACCACTTCCACCCTTTTTTGCTTTTCTGGTGCAGAGGAATTGAACCCAGGGCCTCATGCATGCAAGGCAAGCACTCTACTACTGAGCCACCTTCCCAGCTCTCTGTAGGTTTTTTATTTGCTTTCTTTTTGCAGTGCTGGAGCTTCATATGTGCTATATAAGTGCTCTACCACTAAGTTCAGTTCTAAAGTGTTTTTAAAAGTCTTTGTCATTTCTTGGAATACATTTCAAAGGAACTTTTTCATTTCAAGTGAACTCCAAGATATGGAAACAAGAGTTTTTATTTTGTTGTTTTCTGTTTGTTTTTTAATGTATTGTGTGAAGTTCTTTATTCACTTTTTTTTCCTTTGATTTATCCTCTGTCTCTGAGCCTCTTTGTGCTCTACTCCTTACGCCACAGTGCCACTTTCAGTTTTGGAGTGGTTAATTGGAGATAACAGTCTCACAGGGAGATTTCTGCCTGACCTGACTTTGAACCATGATCCTCAGATCTCAGCCTCCTGAGTAGCTTCACTGAGGTTTTTGATGTTGTTGTTTGTTTCTTGTTTTTTTTGTGCTAGTACTAGGGCTTCTAGACACTGTCCTTTACCTTTTATACTCAAAGCTGGAGCTCTAGCACTTAAGTCACAGTTCCACTTCCAACTTTTTGGTAGTTAATTGGAAATAAGAGTCTCACAGACTTTCCTTCCAAAGTTAGCATCAAACTGCAATCCTCAGATTTCAGCCTCCTTAGTAACTAGGATTACAGGGATGAGCCACTGATGCTTGCCTCTCAACGTTCTTGTATCCAGCCATTAGCAAAGTGGATCGCACCAATCCAAGGCTTCAAGTACTTGTCTCTTGAGTTGCTAAATAAACTGAAAGATACTTACAGCTGATATCAAAACAGCATGTATCGGCACAGCATGGTATTTACAATAGCAGCAGGAAACCTGGATTCATAAGTAGGGAGTGTTTATGATTATTAGAGTTCCAGGACAAAACATGGAATTCAACACCAACTTTATACTACCAAGCAGAGTCAACATGTAATAGATTGCCTTCTAGCAATAGAGTAATGGCTATATTGAACTTAGTGTCTCTTCCTGCCAGGCAAGTGTTCTACCAATTGACCGATGGACTAGTAGACCTTTTTATCATCGTCTGTTTTTCAAATGAAGTCAAACATTTTTCCCAGGTAGTCTCAAACTGTGATGATCTTGTCTCTGCCTCTAAAGTAGTTGGGATTGCTGGTATAAGCACCATATCCATGTCCCTAAAAGATGTCTTGAATGCAGATTAATACCCTAAGGGTTCCCTAACTAAGAAGTAACTGATTTTGCTCAGAAAGCCAATGCTGGAACTTGAGTGAGTGAGGGCATCTGTCCAAGTACTCAAGACATGCCCACATGTAAGGGATATTTGACTGCCAGTATCTTTCTGCCATGGCTTTGTTTTCTAGTATTCTGTGATAGATTAGTGACATAGAGCACAGCAGGTTCAAAGCAAAGAAAGAATGAGTACAAGGGCATCTTAGATGATACTCTTAGAATTATTTATGTGATCCTGTTAATTGCTTTTAACCAGAACCCTGTGACCCTGTCAGGGAATGCCTACAGACGCCCATACTCCAAGACTTTTCACTGGAAATGTGGAATTGTCACCAACTTACTTTGGCTTTTCAACCTTAAATGCCACTTTAGAAATCATCTGTCTGAGGCACCCCAGTGGGTGAGACAATGAATCACCGTGCACACAGTCCCAGTTCTCATCCCTTTCCTGGAATCCAGGGGGCACTCTGTATACTCAACTTTACTCATCATCCCCCTTCCTTAAACATGGAAAAGTTCACATTCTGTTAAAGAAATAAATCTGAGAGGAAAAATGAAAGAATTTTTCATGACTTCCTCGAGCTCCTTTATTTTGTTAATGATATTTTCTACACAAGAAGGTGTTGTTCTCTTGGGTCTTAAGGAATGCATGCTGTCTAATACCACGAAGGAGGAAGAAGACACCAGTGTTAAATTGGCCCACTTGAGAAACTTCGTCATCAACGTAGACAAGTCTCGTTAGGCTAACTCAGTGGTTTTTCATCACAATCCTGTTCTTTTGGACCCACAGTCAAACCTCTTTTCTCAGACCTTGAAATCCTCCAGGGCCTCTCTGCAGGAGAGAAGTCAGAGGTTCTCTGAGAAAGATGCAAGAGAAACAAACGCCGTGACTCTAAAGTGAAGACTCTGTTTCCATGCCCTGCCCCAGTGTAGACCGGAGGCATGACAGACTGAGTGACAGAACAGATCGCAGGAATGCATTCCATTATCTTCGGAATCACAGACCCATAAAACATCTGGCTTCCGGGTGCATCACCAACATGTGGGCCAGCAACTCAAATCTGCTTCGTTCTGACGGAAAAGACAGTATGCTTTTATGTGTAAGTTAGAGGGAGGGGAATTTCAAGGAGTTTCTCTTATTTTCTAACGTGTCCTTTCTACGTTCTTATCATTCAGTTTCTTTCATTTACCAAATGAGATGCTTTCTTGTACAAAATGAGATTCGTTATTTATTTATTTATCTAATGATTTGTTTAGGTGCTGGCATGAAAAAAATAACTTTTAAATGTCTTTTGTTAATTGGTATTTAATATTATTGTTATGGATTGATTGATTTGCCATTGAGCTAGCTCATGTCTGTGATTCTGTAATTCTAGTCAACTTGTGAGGAGAAGATAGGAAGACGACAGTTCAAAACCAGTCTCAACAAACATGCTGGGCATGCTAATTGAGCCACATAGTCCTACATAATTTAAGTGGTGGAACTAGAAAGATTGAAATTCAAGGCTGGTCTAAGATAAAAGCATGAGACCTGATCTAACATACAAACTAAAGTATAAAAGACTTGAGGTGTGGCTCAAAGGATAAGAGTGCTTGCCTAGACAGCAGGTGGTCCTGAGTTCAAATCCTGGTACTGCCAAGAGAAAAAGAAGCGAATGAAAGTCCAAAAAGTAGATATTAAATACCTCATAATACTCAAGTCTTGAAAGTTAAAGATCAATGTATGTTCCCTTTGAAACCTGTAGTGGAGAATCCTGGCAAGGGTTAGTCAGGGAGTTTTGAAACCTGATTGCTGAGAGGGATGGCATGTTAATAGAATAACTGAGACATAACAACCCATATGCTCCACAGCTGTGCAAAGAGCCCAGGTGTGACCTTCCAAGGTCAGCATTCCCTTGTCCCATGTGTACAGAGACTTGGCAAGGCATAACCCAAGTTAATAGGCATGAACCCAGTTTTCCTGAACTGACCACCATGGCCACAGATAAGAGTTTGAGGATCTCAGGACCTCCAGTACAACACTTCTTCTTGAGCCTACTCTCCTAGAAGGTGCTATAATAAACCTGCTCCTGATTCAGTAGCTTTGTGCCACCTTTGAAGTCTTTCATGAAGAAGAGCTGTGTGGCCCTCCAGAACTGGTGGCCTGAATTTGGTGACACTTCCTTGCCTGTTTCAGCGTTCTGACATATTGTCAGCCATCTTTGCCTGCCCTTGGTCTCTGGTTGGTATCATTCCACTCTATCATCTTTTTTGTTGTTGTTGTAAGTTGTGGGGCTTATACTCAGGGCCTGGTCACTGTCCCTGGGCTTTTTCACTCATGGCTACCTCACTACCACTTTGGGCCACAGCCCCATTTCTGGTTTTCTGGTAGTTAATTATAAGAGTCTCACAGACTTTCCTGCCAGGGCTGGCTTTGAATCATTAACTTCAGATCTCAGCCTCCTGAGTAGCTAGGATCACTCCACCATCTTCACTGCCTGTTCTAGGGGCTTGAACTCTGGTTCTGGGTTCGGTCCATGAGACCAATTTGTGCTCAAGACTAGCACTTGAGCCACAACACTACTTCTGGCTTTTTCTGAGTAGTTTGTTAGAGACAAGAGTCACATGGACTTTCCTGCCTGGGCTGGCTTTGAATTGTGGACCTCAGATCTCAGCCTCCTAAGTAACTGGATTACAGGCATGAGCCACCACACAGGACTTGTCTCTGTCCTAATTTCTCCTTTTTATAAGCATACCAGTCTTATTGGGTTAGAACTCAAACTAATGACCTCGTTGCTACTAGATCAATTCTGTAAGACTAATACTTAGTATTGAGAGTTCACTATGATGTTCTAGGGGTTAGGAATTTCAAGTTTCCTTTTGAGAGGCACAATTGAACTCAAAAAAAAAAAAAAGGAATGGGTTGCAAAATCTGGGAACCATTGTGAAATTTTATTCACACACCAATTTTCAGGTGACTTGTTCAAAGAAGAAAAATACAAAATTCCTTGTCTAAATGGCAAAAAAAAAAAAGAAAGATCCATGAACCATTTTGACCATTTCTTCCTTGCCTCTCTTGCCAATATGGTCAATTTTAGTCTCAAAGAATTTTGTGATCTCTACAGGTTTGGGGAGAAGGAAGAGGCTCAAATAATTGATATTGTTCGAGATAAGGAGAATACATGAAAACGAATCATGTACCACTTAAGGACAGACTTTTATTAACTAGTCTGAAGAGAAGCATAGATCTTTTGAAATGTCACAAGATGGACATTGTAAAGTTTATAGAAAAATTAAACAATGGCATACAGTTGTGAGCTATATAAACACTTAATCTGGATTTTGTTGTTTGCTTAAACCACAAAAGAAATCAATTTTAAGCTAAATGTTTTGATCTGTGTAAATTTCCAGCTTCTTTGTATATTTGTTTCTTTATTTAGATCACTACTTAATGTTCTAAGAAAGTATAATGATGTGTAAAATGGCACTTTTATTCAAATTAATCCTGTGTGGATAATCTGTGGGATCTCTTCTAACATAGAAATTCCAAATAACATACATTTAAGACATTCACAATCAAACCCTTGTTCAGTTTTATGTTTTTAACCAATATGTAAATTCATCTGCATGGATATATATATTCATTTGCACACACATGTGTATATAGACATATGCACATTATTTATGTATTGATATATAGACAAGTATTTTTCCTGCACCGCCTTACAGAACGTATTTCAGATCTTATTATCTGGCATCATTTAATTCCTGTTACTTACAATATTGGGTTTCTCCTTTTATGAAGTCTTCAATTCACAAATTTCTATCTCTCCTTCTCCCAGAGGAAATCCATCTACTCTTCATCGTAAGCAGTGACATGGGCTCAGACCACAAAGGAATGTTATTAGGAGCCAGGTGTCAGTGGCTCACACCTGTAATCTTAGCTACGAGATCTGAGGATCATGGTTCAAAGCCAGCCCATGCAAGAAAAGTCTGTGAGACTCTTATCTTTAATGAACCAATAGAAAACAGGAAGTGGTGCTGTGGCTCAAGTGCTAGAGCACTCGCCTTGAGCTGAAGCGTACAGGGACAGTGCCCAAGCTGAGTTCAAGCCCACAACCAACAACAACAAAAAAGGAATGTTATTAGGACAAACACTGCTTTCCTGAGTGAAATCAGCCCTCCATCTCTGGATTACATTTTTTCCACTACTATCTTCCCTAGGCACTTGGTTCCAGTAACACAGACTTGATATGGAATGCCTGGTATAACCCAGAGTGGTTACTCTTCTCTACATTTTATTAAAGCTCCTTTCTTTCTCTCATCTTTACTTGCATATTACGTATAAAGTGCTTACCCATCCCTTCTAATGGAATTTTTTTTCCAAAGGGACCTCTCTAGTCTGAGTTAGGGTAAACACTTTTCTTTCAAGCCCTTCCAGTGCCCTGTGGATTCTAGCACCATAGCATCTACCACTGAAATAATAATTTGATTTTCAAACAGTCTGATAATATTTCTCCCTTCCTCAAATTGCAAAAGGGTAGTGAGTTGTACTTTCTTTTTTTTTTTTTTTTGAATAAGCACCTGCCCACCAAAAATGCTCCATAAGGTTTACCATTGAAGAGAGAACTTAGAGGCATAAAAGTAACCACTCTAGCTGTTTGTCAATCATTATAAGGAGAAGAAGCTGGTCTAGAAAATGGTTCTTGGTTGAAGCCATGTTGTATAACTTTGTAAAGAATCAACGCATTAAAAGCCAGGTGCTGGTGGCTCATGCCTGTAATCCTAGCTACTCAGGAGGCTGAGATCTGAGGATCATGGTTCAGAGCCAGTCAGGGCAGGAAAGTCCATGAGACTCTTATCTCCAATAAAGCACTAGAAAACCAGAAGTAGTGCTATGGCTCAAGTGGTAGAGAACTTGCCTTGAGCTGAAGAGCGCAAGCACAGCACCTAAGCCCAGAGTTCAAGCCCCATGACCAACAACAACAACAAAAAAAAGAAGAATCAACGCATTTGTTGGGAGCCTTAATGGCCATATGCCATAAATACACTGTTCCAGAAGTAAAATTAGGGGCTAAAAGGATGGTTCATGAGGTAGAGCACTTGCCTAGCAAGTCTAAGGCCCAGTTTTGAAACTCTATTACTACACAAACTGGAAAAAAAAGAATTATGCTACTAATGGAACCTTAAAAGCACTTAATATGCATTAACTCAATTATTTTCAACCCTGACTGTACACAAGAGTGACCTGGGAGTGTTCTGAAAGTACAGGGCCAGGTCCCCAAACAAGGCAAAATCACTGCAGTGCTTACGTGGCTTCTGGGGGAGAGAAAGAGCCCTAGGAAACCCCCTGTAAGAGAATCCATTCATCTGGTTGACATGTTTTCACTGATGTTCCACAGAAGCTAAAATGTTTTCCATGTATGCACAATACAGCCAATAATCCACCAAATGAGGCAGGGCTTTGCTCATTGTTCAGAAAGACATTGAGGCCCAAGCAGGATAATGGATTTTCTCCTGACATCTATGACACCAGGAAACTCCCAGATTTAAATTCAGGTTGATTAAAATCAGTGTTTCTTCCAGCACCTCCCATTGCCCCTGAGACCCACGTCATAGGTAACTGAACTTCTGACCTCACTCCACAACTGGGTCTGAATTTGGTTGCCTCTCGGGTTAACAAACCACAGGAGATGTGTGTGTGTGTGTGTGTGTGTGTCCAATAGAACAGAAGGCGAATAACAATAAGGGAAATACAAGCAGACAAAACTCAGCTACACAGAGTAGAAGAAAAGCCTCTCCAGCAACTAACTGGCTTTCATTATACCATCTGCTACTTCTTGCACCCAAAGAATAGCCAGCCTCTTTCACTTCTATTTTCTTCCTGTTCTACCTGTTTCTCTTAACCAGCCTGACAAGCATGGTAATAGATATTGTGAGTCTACTCCTAAGATTAAACTATACTACCACAAGAATAAAAGAAAGAAAAAAGAGAACGAAGGCAGGCAGGAAGTCAGATAGGTAGGCAAGCAGGAAAGAAAGAGGAATGAAAAAAAAAGGGCATTGGTAGCCTAAACCTGTAACCTTAGCTACTAAGGAGACTGAGATTTGTAACATCTCA